AACAATTTTTAGAGAGAAGGCTACTGGACATGGCTTTCCCAGAGAGTTTCCCTGGGATGGCTGTAGGATTCCTTCGGGACCAGGTGCGAAGCTCTTGGTACCTGAGAATGGAGTTGGGAGACCCAGGACAAGTGCTGTGTGTCTGTTATTCTGTGTCGATTGGGTTACATTTTGACTTTAGGGAAGCTCATTCCAAATTTGTATGATGGCTTTGACATATTGTTTAGATATAAGAAAAGATTTTCTATCTTGTCTGGTTCTGGGTATTAACAGGAAAGCCATACCTGAATGCATCAGAGACGTAAGAAGTAATAGTAGATTCCTCAGCCCACACTCCATTGGTCAAAAGGGAAGGGCTGGATATTTAACAAGCCTGTGTGTGTGTCAGATGCCTCACGTATACTCTTACTTAATCTTTGGAACATCTGAATAGAAAAAGTTCATGCTCATTTTACAGGTGAGAAAATTCTTCCTGCCAAATTCTATCTCCTTTATTTTCTAGAAATATCTGTGTACTGGCCTGAACCAGTATTACGAGCAGGGAGGCCATATTTGCTTTAAAGAAACCGAATCCATCAGTATACTGGATTCACATTATCAAAGTGACACATATATATATGGTCAAGGACTGTACTTTACAATATGAATTGAAGCTCAATGTCAAGAAGACAAAGATTCTCATAACAGGGCCAATTGGCAACACCATGATGGGTGTAGAAGAAATTGAGATTGTTAACAGTTACAGTTTGCTTGGCTCCACAATCAACACTTTTGGCACTAGCAGTCAGGAAATCAAAAGGCAAATTGCATTAGATAAATCTGCTGTCAGGGAGCTTTCCAGAGTACTGAGAAGCAATGATGTCAGTCTAGAGACTAAGGTGCGCCTGATCCAGTCCATGGTCTTCGCAATTACTTGTTATACATCAGAGAGCTGGGTAATGGCTAAGGATAACAGAAGAAGAATTGATGCCTTTAAGTTGTGGTGCTGGAGAAGAGTCTTGAACATACTATGGACCACCAAGAAAACTAATAGGTCTATCTTAGAGAGGGTGAAACCAAGTTTCTCCTTGGAGGCTAGGATTTTGAAGTTCCGTCTCACATACCTTGGGCATGTGGCCAGGAGAGACTGATCCTTGGAGAAGGACATCATGCTCAGAGGGTGGAGGGACAATGTAGGAGAGGAAGACCCCGGATAAGATGGATTGATACAGTAACTAGGACAAAGAGGGTAGGTGTATCGAGTCAGTGAAACTGACTTAGGACAGGGCAGGGTTCAGGGCTTTTGTACATAGGGTTGCTATCAGTTGCAGGTGACTTGACGGCACAGAACAACAACAACAACAACAATTATATATATCTATACATATCCCCACCTCTTAATAAGTGTTATATTTAAATGAAAACTTGACAGGGCATATAATATCAACCTACATTTTAAAAACATATATGTGTGAGTTGTACTAATTTATTGGGGTGACTATTCCCATTTTTTGGAATCAGGAGTGACATCCACTTCCTAAACAACATGCCTCTGGAAACTATGAACTTTGGGAAACAATGATAGTTATAGAAAGGCTTCAGGACTTTTGTTGGTAGGGTCACTATGAGTTGTGCTTGATTCCATGGCAGTCAACAACAACAACTCCCACTTAGGCCATAACAAATAGGTGGGGTTTTTCTTTTGCAAATTTTATATTGATTTGCATACAAAATCTGTTTAAATTGTGTTTCATTTATATACATTGTGTTTTACGCATTCCTCTATTCACATTTTGTTTCATATGTTCATTCCCATACATTGTATTTTATAAAATTAATCATCTTTACCATAGTTTCTGTTGTATTCACCTGTTAAAGTATGGCCAGGTTGTTTTGAGTTATTCTCAATTATTCATAAAGTTACTGTAAACATCTTAATAAGTTTTCTAAACAAAATAAACCTGTAAGAGCCATCCTCCCCTGTTCAAGAAGTAGAAACTTGGTTGTATTTTCATTCTTAAGGAACTTTTGTTAGATTTTCCAAGGCAGACTTCTGGTTGGAGGTATAACTGACTTATAATACTATTTATCCCATCCTCTTTCTCTTACCACTGTGTTTGAAGGTCCCCAAAATGCAATAGAGTTACAAGTCAATTAATGAGGGGAGGGTTAGTCATTGTCATTGTTGAGCCTTCAGGACTTTGGAGTAAAATACTCCCAAAGGAACTCTGGTGGCATAGTCTGTAAGATATTGGGCTGCTAGCCAAAAGGTTGGCCGTTCAAATCCACCAGCGGCTCCATAGGAGAAAGATGGGCAATTTCCTTACCTAAAGATTTCTAGTCTCAGAAACCCAATGTAGAGTTGCTTGGAGGACAGTGGCTTCCTTTGGGGTTTTGTTTTAGGATACTCCTAAGAAAGAGAGATTCAGTAAAATCTCTGGGTTATGAACTTGTGACTTATAGACAACTTGTACTTGCCCTTTGATGTTGTATAAATTTTCTCTCACTTTTAAATGATTGAACCAACCCCTGCTGGCAATAAATTCTTCAATGCAGTCACCTTCACTTTGCTGCGCGTGTAACTTTTAAACCATTGAAAAAGCCTTTGAGCCTTTTCTTACCTGAAACCGAGGCTAAATAAAAACTTGAAGCATCTCTTCTGACTTACCTCCAAATTAGACTTCAAGCGATATTTAGGAATGGATCTGGTTCATAACCCAGGGATGGCCTGTAGCTCCTGAGAGAGTTTAAAAAGAGAAAGAGTCAAGGAACTCTTAAGCCCAGCTCATAAGTAACGCTCAAGGAGGTTGAAGAACATGTCCCCAATCTCTCAGCAAGGAAGCAGGGCCAGCAGGCACTATCCTGCTCCTACTTGGTCCCCCGGGCTGCTACTGCATCTCCTTGTACTCATACCCATGCCCCAGATGCATGCCAGCTGAGAAGTCCTCATGGAAATGGATCCTGAGCAGGAAGGAAGCCATTGGCAAGAGAGCCTGTAACCACAGCCTGTGAGGATAGACACACACACACACACACGCACACACACACACACACATACGTGTGCGCCACCACTCAGCCGTGCTGCTCGCCAGCTCTAGTGCTTGCTACCTTTCATTGCAGACACTCACCTGCCCTTCATTCCCCATATGCTCTCTGTTCTCAAGTGGACCACTATGAAGAGGCCCACACCCTGCGTGCCAGCCTGGTTGGTGCATAAAACCAAGCCTGTATTCTACTCCAGCAACCAAGACCTACATCTTAAGCCAGTTCAGTCGTTTAGCCACGGTGCCACAGGCAGGTCTCTGAGCATAACCCCCTCCTGAGTTGTTTCAGTGCCCAGCTCCATCATACCTGGGGTTAAACCCTTGGCAAATGGCGCATGCCAGCAGTAATAGTTATTGAGCAGTTCAGTGTGTGCCAGGCTTGGTGCTAAACGCCCCACACAGACCTCATGTAGCCCATATAGGAGTTCACAAGAGGAGCACCTCTGCTGTCTTCAGTCTATAGATAAAGAGCCTGAGGTTCAGAGAAACCCCAGAGTCACTCATGCACTTAAGTGATGGGGCACTGCTCAAACCAGAAAAATCTCAAGCTCATTCTTGACCTGGAACTAGCGCATTGCTGACTAGGCTTTGGATTTCAGAGGCTGTAAATTGAAGCAGAGGAGATTGTCCCGTCTTTCTCCCAGAGTGTTGCTAGTGAGTTCGAACGGCCACAGAGGGTGCAACTCCCTACAGACTGTGCCATCAGAGCCGTGTAAACCAGGCAAGAGGGACTCTAAAGGGCCTGCCACGCTGCTACTTAAAGGTCATCAGTCATTCTGGAGTTATGTACTGAGTGTCTGCTATGTGTCAGGCCTCCCTACAGGTTCTAGGGAAACAGCCACGAGCCAATAGAAAAGCCCACACCCTAACGGAGCTGAGGTTCACTAGCCAGGGTCCTTGGGGAAGAATGATCCAAAGAGATTTGTCTTTTTGGCACTTGTAGAGAAGAGTCTTTTCATTCCCCATCCCCCAAATCCCTTCCATACTTCACACCTTTCATTTTCAGAGCCACTCAGAGTCTCTCCTTACTCAGAATGATTGAGGTGGGACCTGATGTCACAGAGTTTCTTTATACCCCTTGCCCTACGACTTAGAGAGAGAGAGAGAGAGAGAGAGAGAGAGAGAGAGAGAGAGAGAGAGTGTGTGTGTGTGTGTGTGTGTGTGTGTGTGTGTGTGTGCGCGCGCAACAATCTGTTTCCTGATGGTCGCTGCCCTCCCTCCTCAGCACCCTTCTTCCAGCTCTCCTCTGGGGGGAGGGCCGTGGGTCGGCAGCTGTTTGCTGTGTGGAAGGGCCTCATCTTGACCCCTGCGCGCACTGGTGCCAGCCTGACCGGAGGCCATCTCACGCGTCCTGGCCACCTCCACGGGGCACTGTGGCCTGCTGTTCTGTCCTTCTCCGCACACAAAGAGCTGGTGTTCAGAGGCAGGAGGGGAGGGCGGGTGGCCTGGAAAGCTTTTCAGAAAGACCAGGGCGGAGGAAGGCATCACCCAGGTGATGGGAGCAGGTCCCTGGGGACCCCAGCCCAGGACCCCAGTGAAAGGTTACTGCTAATTGGCGAGCTCCTGATGGGACCGCATCTATTTAGCACCCTCTCACCCCCCAGCCCCACCCCCAGAAGCTCCGGGATGGTCTTGGCACCGCCTGCGATTTGCTCCCCGCCAGAGTCTGCCACAATCTGTCTGGAACTGCGAACATGGAGCCTGTTGGTTTTTCCATTTGTGTTTTTCTTGTCCATGGTTCCCTGCCCATTGTTGTTGGGGGATTTAGAAGCAGCAGCCACCCTGACCCGGGGATGCCCCACCTCAGAGGTCCCCTTTCCATCAGCCCCCAGACTCCACCAGGGTCAGGCATTGTGGGGTCAGGGGGCAGCACTGCCCCTGCCCAGAACCGACTGTCGCCGCTGAGGCCCCAGGGCCCGGCGGCTCCCACCCCATCATCATCCCTGACACTAACACAGCTTGTCCACCCTGTCGCAGGGGGCAGATGGCCTGTCGGAGCCGGAGGGCATCTCTCTGAAGCGGGTCGCTGTGGTGGAAGATTTCTTTGACATCATCTACTCGATGCATGTGGAGAGCTCGGCGGAGCCAGGCAAAGCCCCCAAGCACGCTGGGCAGAAGAAAACCTACCGCGCGGTGAGATTTCAGTCTCTGCCTCTGCTGGCAGCCCCGGGCCTTGGCAGGAGGCCACTGGCTCTGCACATGTTGGGGGGGAGTGGGGGCCCCTTCTCCAGGGAGCTGAGGAGCAATGAAAATGGCCTTTGGGGATGGGGGCACAGGGCAAGGGCAGGACAGCCAGGGAAGCTCACAGTAGGGGGGCTGTGAAGGCGGGCTCCAGTGGCTTGAGCACAAAGGAGAAGCAGGTTGTAGGGAGTGAGGAGAGGGAGGGAGGGAGGAGAGGCCGGGGAGGAAAGCTCTCCTCTCCCCAGTTTGGTCTCCACATACCCGCTCCCAGCCCCTTCCAGCCCCTGGATTTGTCACATGGGGCCCAAATAATAATAATCACGGGAGTGAGTATGTCCATTGCATTTGCTATGTGCCAGGCCTGTCCTGAGTACTTCCTGTGTGCCAGCTTATTTGGTCCACTACAGCCCTGTGGAGTCAGGACCGGGAGTTCCCCAGGAGAAGCTGGAAGGCCTGGTCCCTCCCCTCAAGGAGAGGGCAGTTCAGCTAAGGGGTGAGGAAGCTGAGGACAAGACTAAGACCCATGAGAAGCGCAAATGGTTCCCAGACCTGCTGTGGAGGACATCAGACCCTGCCATGCGGTCCTGTCTCCTGTCATGGGGACTGCATTGAGGTGGCTCCTAGGCTAGAATTCTGACCTTTGGGAAGGCAGAAGGGAACAGAGAGGGTGAGAGATGTCACAATTATGGGGAGATGGTGGTCTGAGCAGCAGTCCCACTGCCCCTGCAGGAAGGACCTACTTTGTGATCTGGTCCAGCTCTGTGGATATCCCAGCCTCTGAGTGGTTCATTGCCCAGTGCTCATCATCAAGGCAGAATCCAAGCCCTCCACATTCCCATCCAAGGCTAGCCTCACAACAGTGTTGGAAAGGAGGTGCTGTGGACCCATTTCATAGCTCAGGAAACTGAGGCTTTGATTGTTGAGCAACCTACCCAAGGTCACACAGGGTCTGCCTGGCAGTCAGCTCTCAGCTTCATTCCCCTCACCTCATGGTGACACTCATGGTGATCATGCAGATGTGAACCCCTGCACCCCAAGTTCTTTGGATAAAGAGCTTGGGGTAGAGGCAGTTTGAATAAGCCTCTCATTTCCCCATAATACCCTGAATATTATTATTTATTTTTATTAAAAAATAAAAAATCAAATAATTTGGTTTCTCCTTGACCTTCGAAGATAGCCTTTGATCTAAATGGGTCTTAAAAAGTACACCATGTATCATGAGCCACCTCCCCATGCCCTTGCCTGCTTCTCACTGAGTGTCCTTTAAGGCAGGCGGAAGTTCTGAAGGTCTTTCCACCAGAATGTCATAGAGGAAGGGAAAGAAACCCAAGCGGGGGCCAACCTAAGCCCCTTGGCATTGACAAAGCCCAGCATGTTTTCTTGGCATTCAAGTGGCCGTTTTACTGGGCATTCAGCATGGACCATGCACTACTCTGCGTTTATGCACACCAAGTCCTGAGCCTTCCTAGGTATAAAGACTATTCATATGTATGTAGGAATCAGTTGCTATTTTCCCCTTTTACTGATGAGGAAATATCGGTGAAGCTCAAAGAGGCATGTGAACTGCCCCAGGGTCCCTCAGCTGACATTTACAGCCAAGCAGCTGGCCCCAAAGCCCATCCCCTGACTACTACACATCCCGTCTCTTTACAAACCTCCTGTGGTTGGCTAGTAAGCTTGGGCCACCAAACCATGTAAATTCCTTGGCCCCTCAGCACCAAACCTCACCCACAAGACATGCCCAGGGCATTTATGATGCCCAAGGTCTGTAGCCTCCACACTGTGTGAAGGTCAGCAGTGGGCCTGTCCTGCCACAGCTTGCATCCCAGACCAAGTGTCTGTCCATCCATTTGCTCTGCACCTTCTGGCTTCTCGTCCACATGCCTGCCGAGTGCCCCATTTCCCGCTGCCCAGCCTGGAGCTGGCACATGACTGGCAGCGAGCCAGCTGGGTTGCACGCAGAGCTGGAATTTCAGCAGCAAGGCCAAGGCTGAGCCGATCAGACCAGGCCCTCCTGTGGCGGGTGTGAGGCTAGGGGGCCAGCAGGCCTCCTTCCTCCCCTGCGTGCCTCTTCTCCATCTGTCACCCTGGTCATGCCATGCTTTTTCTTTTGGGGGGCACGGGGTGGTGCCTGGATGCTTTGTCCCCTCTTTCACAAGCTTCCGTCTTCCTCACCCAGCATTCCAACCTCACTGTAATCATGAGGTCTCCCCCATATCCAGGCCTGAGGAGAAAATGTCCCCAAGGAAACAGAAGAGCCGAGCCTGGCATCACCAGGCTCTTGGCTGAGGAGTGTTTGAACTTGGCTCTGGGTTGTTTTGTCAAACCTGAGTCCAGTACCTAGTACCTGTTTCACGTTGCTAGGGCCCCTGGGATTTTCTGGATTATTGAAGGCCCAGATGTCTGTAAGGAGACAGAGGACACTTGTTCTGGGTGCACATGAAAGGAAGCACATTCTTTATTAAGAAAAAGAACTTTCTAGCATCTCCAGCTGCCCAGTTATCATAGGCAGGTAATTAACTTTTTGAAACTGGAAATGCTTGAGTGATGGGTAGATGGCCATTCTCCATGGAGATTTCCATTTTGGGTGATAGGCCCCTGCCTTTATCTGAGGCAATATGATCTGATATCCAGAGGACCCTGTGAATTCTCCCATGTGTCAAAATCTTGGGAAAGTTCCAGATGGTTCTACAAAGGTCCTTGAGTAGAAATAGAGGTCCAGGCCCCCTTCTCCAGTGTCTTTCCTGCCCTCTGATTTGTGTACCGGCCTGGGTAGGAGTAAGCCCAGCCAGATCAGGTTCTGGAGCCCGGATCTAACTACCCAGGCCACTTTGGGGTTGGGCCAGATGTGGTCAGCAGCTGCTCCAGGCCCCACCACGTGCTAATCCACCCACAGGGCAGAAGGAGGATCTTGTAAAGTGGTGCAAATCCCCCAAATTGGCCTCATATGTCTTTGTCGGCCTCAGAGTTGGGGAGCGAAAATGGAGCCTTGCAAGTCAGCGACTCTGCAAATAGCTCCTGGCTCCTGCCAGCGAAACCTCTCACAGTTTTCACCACCGGAAAAAGCACAGAAGGCAGATTCTCATAGGTACAGGGGGCCCAGGGTCCAGGCATGAGGCCCCAGGAGCAAGGCCCAGGGCAGCTGGGGGCTCCTGGAACTGCCCTTCTGCACACACGGTTCCATCTCTGTCTTGTGTTTGGGGCTTCAGTATACGTCTCTGTCTACAGCCGGGTCTGTGGCCCAATGGGTTTGAAAAGCATGGATTCACTGACTGGCACACTCTCTGCAATGGTCCCTTAGGTTTCAACCTCACCCTGGCCTTGGGCGTCTGTGCACTCAGAGAAACAGGCTCTCTTCTGTGGTGGAGCCTGGAGGGTGGGCTAAGGGGCCTGCAGCAGGCCCCCAGGGGTCAGCGTCCTCCTCCAAACAGCTCTTACTGTGTACTCTCCTGAATCCCCTGGGAGCTCTTAGCCTGAGGCCAGGCTGCAGATGTTCCACCCAGCAGGGAAGGGCTTCCCACTCCTGGGCCTAAGGCCCACCTGCCCTGGTGCACCCGTTCTGTCCCTCTGTGGGGCCTAGAGCCAGAAGGTGGGAGCCTCAGGGCTTCTCCTTCTCTTCCTGGTTGCACGGCAGCCAGCTTTGCACACTGCCAGGGCCCTCGGAGGACCCTCTCTGGGAACAGTCCTCATGCCCTCAGCGGGCCAGGTGGCAAGAAGGACCTGGCCTGTGTTATGTGCGGTCCTCAGCCAGGCTGGGAGGACTCTCCCTGGGCCTTTAAAAAAAAACCCACACACCACATTTCTCCGCCCAGTGGCAGGCGAGCTCCAAGCTCAGCTTAATTAAATCGGGCTGCCTTCCCCTGTGAACCTTTCTGTCTTTCCCCCATCACACTGTGCTGCCCTCCTCCCACAAGTCCTCCTCCCTCTGCCCCAGGGGGTCATCTGCTGGTGCAGCCAGCCCAGTCCTCGCCTCTGCCCTAAGCGTGCCCGCATGCTCTCCCCCAGGCTCCCACTGCCATCAGCCCTTTCCCTCTCGGTGCTTTGGACACGTGGTCCCCGAGGCTCCCAGGCTGAGGGATGAAGATGTCACTATGCTGGTAGAAAAGCCCCCTTCCTGCAGCCTGCTTGTGTACTCTCCGTCCTCTGGCTCCAAGCAGACACCGGGGGTTGCCCTTGTCCCTGACCTCCAGAGGAAGGCAATCAGAAAGGGAATTTGGAAGGGAGATAACTCATCAAGGAGACTTGCCTGCTCCGTAGAGCATTAAATCAGCTGAGAAATAACAATTGTGCCACCAAAATTAACTCCGCACTTGGAGCCAACCGCCAGGCCGAAGTGCAGTCCCGGAACTCCACTGCCGCTGGCCCCTCAGCTGCCGGCATCGTCCAGGGGGTCTAAAGTTGAGGTTTGGCGGTGGTGAGGGCACCTAGTGGTGCCTTCTGCATCACTCAACCCCACCCTACCCACCCCACCACCCCACCACGGCAGAGGTGAATCAAGCAGGGCACTCAAGCACCCCCTGGAGGGTGAGGTTCACACTGTTGCCAAAGGAGGCAGGGCCCAGGCTGCCGCAGTTGGGAGCGCCCCCTCCTCATGCAGCTGACCAGCGCCCTCGCCAACTTTCTGGCTGGGCTGCGGCAAGGATGGCGGAACGCTGGGGCGATGCTGCCCCTTAGTGGAGAAGAGAGGGAGGGCCCCGCGTGTGGGAAACCAGCCCTGAGCAGCTGCTGGCCTCAGCCTGGGAATCTGCAGTTTAGGGGGCCCTGAGGCCCCTCGGGAAGGGATATCAAGAGGGGAAGGCTAGATTTCCCCTTCCACACCCAGCTATTCTCCACCCCACATTCCCTGTGCAGCTTCTTCATCCCCAGTCTTTTCCCTGCCTTTTCTCCTCCAGCCTTTCTGCTCCTTAGCTAGGGGAGGCCCCAGCAGGCAGTCCTGAAGCAGTGTGACCAACAGCTGAGGTTCTAGTCTGGCACTTCCCCTCCAGAGCTGTGTGACCTGGGATAAGTCACTCCACCCCTCTAGAACGTCAGGGTCCCCAAGGGTCTGTCCACTTTGAAAACTGACCTTCTGGCATCAGCCTTCCACAGCCGTCCTCTCAGAAGGTGGCTGAAGTGTGAGCTGTCACAGGGAATAGCTGTAGAGGTTTGTACATAGGCCTGGAGCGGGGACATTTATATGGTCCTCATCCTGCCTACCCTAGAGAAATGTGTATTCACTTCTGTTTTAGTATAAAGAGATGTTTTGAAGAGAGTATCACTTAATGGAACACAGATTGTCCTCTCTTGTCTCATTACCACCAAGTCAGAACTGACTCGTAGCTGACCCTGCAGTGGCTTTTCTGAGGCTGTAAATCACACAGGAGGTGACTGCCCATCTGCCCCCACCCCCAGCGCTGCTGGTGGTTTTGAACCGCTGGAGAAGTTTGGCCTTTGGGTTCTAAGCACAACTCCCTTCAGACTGTGCCACCAGTTTCCCAGAACCAGGTTAAAGACTGGATAGTGTTTAAATGCATTCTGTGCAGATATTTTTGTTGTTTTGGTTTTGGTTTTTTGTTTTGTTGTGGTTTTTTTTCAATTAAACAGCTTTATTAATATTTTAAAAACAAATGGTTTTCAGCTTAAGTATAGACTCGTTTCCATGGCTAAGGATCCAGAACATCTGCCCCTTGCTCCTCGAGTCCCTGCCCTTCCTGGCAAGGGCCAGGTACCCACCACCAGGCGAAGACCTCGGTGACCCAGCAGCCGAGGCGCCTCCCCACGGAGCCGTCTGATGTGCCAGCCTCTCTCCTTCCCTCCCATAGATCGCAGAGACCTATGCCTTCCTCCCCCGGGAGGCCGTGACCCGCTTCCTGATGAGCTGCACGGAGTGTCAGAAGAGGATGCACTTTAATTCCAACGGCCTGGAGCCCAAAGGTAGGAGGGGTGGCAGGAAACAGGCCCCTGGCTGGTACAGTCATCAGTTGTCACCTTTCTCTGAGACTAGTGTGCTTGCAAGAGGCTGCCCAGAGAGCCCTGGGGGTGGAATTGCTTTCGTTTTGTAATTACAATTTTTTAAAAAATCTCAAATTTTACCTAAAGAAACAACACAACACTTCTACTGCCCTTCAAAGCCCAAGTCAGGCTATTGTCATGCCAAGGGTGTGGTTGGACCACTCTTCCACCATGTTCTCTATGCCCCAGAGTTCTTGCTGCCCAGGCCTCCTCCCACTTGGCGCATTTCTCTGGGCACTAGCCTTCAGGGTCCGGTCATGCTGGCTTGGACTGTCCGCTCTCTACAGGTGGCGCACCCCTCACCTTCTGTGGGCATTCTCTACCCTGTAGCCCACACCACACCCACTTGGCAATAGCAGATCCCTCCAAGGTGATTGTCACCCTCCCCATGCATAACCCACCCTTGTGGTCTCTCCCCAGTAAACCTGTGGTCTCTCCCCAGTAAACTTGTGGAGATGGACTAATGGGATTGAAAATGCCCACAGCACTTGTGGCCATGCTGCTGACACGGTCTGTGACCAGTGTCCCTCCCAGTGACCAAAGCCCCCATCCCACCGCTCCCTCCATATCCCCCGAGACCTGCAGTAAATCTGCTCACAGGTGACTTTGGCAAAGTGAGATGGGTCAGCACATTGGCTGGTGGGACTGTAACTCATTGAGAAATAGTACCCAGGTGGCCCGTTTATCTGGGCTTCGAGGCCCTCCCCTCTGCCAGCCTGTCCTGAGCACCAGGCTAGTGAAGTTGTTGAAGTCATGGAGCTTTGTCCCAGTGTGGGGACAAGCTCTCAAGTGAGGGGGTGAGCTGTTAAATTGTGTGGTGTCCAGGTAACATCCGTCAGAGCTGAGGGAGGGACAGCTGGTAATTAAGTCAGGTTAGACGGCAGTGGATGATCAAGGTACAAGCATCGATGGGGTTTCCTGTAATTGTGGTTGTTTGATGGAAGCTGGTTTAAGGAATCCAGAGGCTCTCCAGCCCGTGGGAGCCATTCATGGGGCATGACGGGCATTGGAGAGTCTATTAACCTTCCCTAAGAGCTAAGAGTTCTGCTAGCTTAGTGGTAAGGAATTATACTGTCAACATAAAGATATGAGGTTCAAATCCAGCTGCTCCACAGGAGAAAGATGGTCCGTCTCCTCCTTTGTGAAACCCTCTGAAAACTCACTAGAGGGTCAGCTATGGGTCAATCCTGACTCAATGATATACAACAAGAGCTGTGTTCTGGTGTTAGTACAGAGACTCTGGGTTGGATGAAGTAGGTTCTAATCCCAGCTCTACCACTTACCAGCTGTGTGTCTCAGCTTCATCTCCAGGAACCTCAGTTTCCTGATGTGTGTTGAGGGATATTACCTTTCTCTGGAGGCTGATAAGATTGGAGAGTTGAGCCACGTTCCCGACATGAGCCAGCTGGGCAGGCAGGCTGAGCTGTGCTGTTAGAGTTACTGCGATATCTTTAGATACCTGAGGGTGACATTGTCTGCCCCTCTGGGCTGGGTCTGCCTGAGTAGCTGCAAACCACAAGCTCCCCCTCCTCCAGACACGGGTTGGTACCTGCCACAGGGCCAGGTAGACTGTTCCCGCTCCCCTCCCTCCCCTTGCCAGGGTCTGGTTCCTGCCCACCCTCCTGCCCATCCATGGTTTCCACAGCAACTGGCAGAATCAGACACAGAAGCACTCGCCTGGGGGAGCAGAGGCGAGGATGGGAGGGGTCACACTCTGGGCTGCTCTGGGGCATCTGCAGGCTGTGTCTGCTCTGCTCACCAGCGTGTACACGCGTCCGTGCGCGTACACACACACACACACACACACACACACACACAGAGCACGCACCTCCATGAGGATGTGCCTCACCGCCCTGCCCCCACCCTCAGCGGCAGCACCAGGTCCCAGGGCTGCACCTCTGCGTGGTCTGAGGGCATGTGCGTGGTTGGGAGCATGATGCCCAGACCGCAGCAGTACTCCTCCTCTCCTTCCTTCCCCCACTGTCTCCACCACCCCCAGCCCCAGAAGGAAGGAGGAGGGAGAGGGACCAGCATGAGCGCACATACACAGGAGCCACCTAGAATGTCAATCAGCTCTGTGGGCTCTGCTGGAACCTCACTCTCTGGGGCCTTGCTCTGGAGATGATAGAGGGTGAGTGCCTAAGCCTGTGCTGTGTGCAAGGACGCCACTTCTCTGTCCCAGGAGAGGAGGAGACCATGTGGCTTGTGGAAGAGAGGGCATGGGCCGAGGAGACCTGGGTGTGCAGTCCTGTTTGTGTCCTTAACCGGTTAGGCAACCTCTCTGAGTGTCACCTCTTAACATTGTATGTTGTTAGGTGCTATTGAGTCGCCTACAACTCATAGCAACTCTGTGAACAATAGATTTGAGCCCTGCCCTCCCCTCCCCCTCTCTGATACACTCAGATCATTGCTCCTGTCACTGTGTCAGTCTGTCTTGTCGTGGGCCTTCCTCTCTTCTACTGACCCTTCCCAGCATGCCTTTTTCCAAGAACTGGCCCATCCTAAGGTACACACACACCCAAAGTCTATGAGACGACACGTCACTAGCCTTGCCTCTAAGCACACCTCCTAGGGAATATTAGTCTTTGCTTACACCTGGGGAAATGGAGGCACAGGGAGGTGAAACTGCTCATCTAGGATGTCCCAGAAGATACGGACAAAAGGCAGAAGAACATATTCTCATGGGTTGAATGGGAGTGATGCCTCCATCCACCAGGAGCTTCAGTTAAAGGCTGCTACCTATCAGTTAAAGGTACTTGGGGACCTGTGACCATCCCCTCCCCCCCATGTTGTTGCACCATGGTGATGAGGCACAAGACTGCCAATATACGGGTATCCTCACCGAGACCCACACTGTCAGCCTCCTCAAGGTGCGGTGAGGTGCACGCCCCTGCACTACCAATGCGAACAGCCTAGGTACAATCTGGATATTGGTGGGAAGGAGGAAGCTTTGGTTTCTGAAAGCTGCCTGAGGAATCTGGAGTCTGAAAGGCTTCCCTGTCTGCTGCTTGGCCCGAGGCATTAACCACCTGGACCATCCTCGCCAGCTGGCAGGTCCCCCTTCCCCGCCCACCATGCTGGGTACCCAGGATGTGGCCAGCTCCGCCCCATCAGCAGCCATTCTGGCCCTGCCTCCTCTCCCTTCCACCAGGAAATCAGAGGCAGGCCCAGGCCCCAGAGGTAGGCCCAGTGCGCCTGTCCCAGGAATGCTTGCTGAGGGGGAGCAGGGGCAGGATAGAGACGTCTTCAGTGACTGCTGGGCGAACATCCTGCTCCCTGGCCTTATGTTAAAGAGAAAGGAAGCAGATTTGTCCCCAGCAGACTTGATGATTTGTCCCCAGCAGAGTGTGGAGCCTGGACGGCCCTTGGTGCCCTCCCCCAGCGCCAGGAGCGTAAACAAAGGCTGCTATGTGGTGGGTCAGGAAGTCCGAGGATGGGAAATTCCTGGACCTCCTGACGCCACTCTCTCCTTCCACCCACTTCAGCAGGGAGGGGACAGAGAATAAGAACAGGCCAGGTTCTTCGGGCAAGAGGCTTCTGGGATGGCCTTCCTGTAACATTTGATGTGACAAAATATTAAGATAGGAGTCTTATTGCACTGACCAGAAGTGACAGTGGGACAGGACCAGGACCTACAGAAGAATTCTCATCTCAGCGGCCAAGTCCCCTTACTTGACAGCTGCTTCAGAACCAGGCCATCTCTTTTTCATGGTGTCAAAACCCTTCGCACCTGACCCTTGACACCTGCATTCTGTCCTCCAGTGTGAGCCTGTCCTCTGCCAGCTACAGGCTTCTTCCTTCCTCCTGGGCCTGGGAAGCCTACCTCAGCCTTAAAGTGGAGGCATTTATATTAGCAACTGCCTCAGGGCTGCTTGGGTGCATTGAGTGAGGTCAGCCAGCAGGACCAGGCCCATCTCAGGGGTCCTTGGGAAGAGGGTCAGCCAGCAGTTGTCAGCTGAGTGATGAGCACAGCCCTGTTCAGTCCTTTTAGCATGAAACTTCCTTGAGATTCTCCAGAACGTTCTCAGCCCTTCCTCCTCCGAGCCCTGATGGACTCTATCAAATCGCACCCTGCTTGTTTCCTGAGAGCAGAGACAGCATCTCACCTTCCACACGCACCAGAGCACTGCCCCACCCCAGCGCACATCCACGCCCCCTGACGACTTATCTCTCCCTGTTGATTCACTTCCTCAGGAAGGACATTCTTCCTCACCTCTTCAGCTGGCCCCCAGGCCTGAGCTCTCTTTGCTTCTAAATCTGAATGCCCCAGTAGGCTGACCAAGCAGCCTTGTGGCCTCTCTGCCTGGACGGCCATCCTTGCATACCCTTTGGCACCTCAGCCCTACCTGGGTCATGTCTCCTTTCTTGTGCCCACCACACTGCTTTCCTAGACGGAGGATTTCCTTCATTTCGTGGGAGAGACCTCCTGAAAACAGCCACCTTGGGTGGTTTCTGCCTGAAGACAAGGAGGGCCACTTCCTTCGTTGGAGTTGACATTGATGGGTGAGCGACAGGATAGACCACCACGGAGGGCCGCACTCGGCTCTGGCTGGGCCTCTACGGCACCGATATTTCCAAGGTTGCATAAAACCAGGTCTAGACTTGGACTGGCTTCAGTTTTCTTTGGCTTTGAGGTATTGAAACATTTCTCTGGGTTCTCCCTCTGTCTTCTCACTGGCAGCCTGCAGGGTTATTTAGGCTCCATGACCCGCTAGGCCAGCTCCTCACTCACCCCCACTCCTCGGATAACAGCATCCCACAGAGCAGTGGTGTCAGGTTGTTTATAGTGACGGGAGCTGTTGCCACTGTGTGTGTTGACCACAGCTGGGGGCTAGCCTGTCTCAGCCGAGCCCAAGGAGGCCACTTCTTCCTCATTCATGCTCCCCCTCAGCTCTCCTGTCACTGACATTTGTCTTACCTGCCAATGTGCAGTTCAATGAAGTGCCCACTGGCCTCAGCTCCTTCGCTTTTAGCTACTAACCTGATACCCCACCCACCACCATGCTTGTTTCTAGGGCTCCCTCTCGCATGCCCCACCAGCCTCATCCTTTACCCTTCTACCTGGAGTGTCCCCATCTGCCAAGGCCCTACCTCCCCAGGAGAGAAGAATGGGACCACATCCAGGTAGTCTGTGTGTTACTGCTCAGGAAAGCCCAGCTTCCCAAAGACAAAGGCATCCACCCTTCCTCACTGGACCTTTGCTGGTTCTCCTCCAGGCGCCAGAGGAGATTCTGATCTATGAGAATGCTCTGGAGAGAACAATCCATGAAGGCACCTCCCACCTCCCAAAAGCATCATCCTCGCTGTGTTTTTTTATTTTGTTTAAAATCTGCATCTGACTTTATGAAAAAATGCTTCTTCGTCAACAGTTAAGACATTCAGGCAGAACCCCGCATTCAGGGAGGCCCTGCAAAACCCAATGTGGTCTCCTCATTTGCGGCTCTGGCCAGGCCTTGTGGACGGGAAGATGACACGTCTTCATGTACGTTCCATGTTGTTGAACACCTTCTCGCCAGCCACCCCTGTCTGTGAGGAAATGAAATGGAAACTGTGGGATTCTTGGTTTGAAATGCCACAAATTGGAAAAAAAAAGGAAACTCAGCATTTTGGAGTTTCCTCCAAAGATGTCAACGAACCATCTGCCTGACTTATTGCATCTAAACCAGTCAGTTTTTTGGGGGGGCCCTGCCTGTAAAAGAGTCAAGTCTAGGTTGATGGCGGGAGACAGCAAAGAGAACAGGCCAGGCAGACATTAAAAGGTGTTTTTATTTTCCCAAAGCCCTAGACATTTGTGAGGAGAGACCGGTCCTTGGAGGACATCATGCTTGGGAGGGTGGAGGGTCAGCGCAGGAGGGGAAGGCCCTATATGAGGTGGATTGATTCAGTGACTGGGGTAATCAGGATGGGAGTGTCAGAGACAGTGCGGTTGGCACAGGACAGAGCAGTTTAGGGCTGTTGTACATAGGGTTGCTATGAATCGCAAGCGATTCAACGGCACATAACAACAACAACAACTAGATATTTGGGCCAAAAGGAGATGTATGTTATGTCTAAATTCCTCCTTCACAGAGCAAGAGGAAGTCTCCTTTTTTGGGTGGGTGGGGGGAAGCACATTTCACAGTACTTTTTGAGATATTTTATTAGTGACATTTGTTCCTAAAAAAAAAAAAGAGAGAGAAATATTCTGGGTGTAGCAACATAGCTTTGAAAAGTGAGACAGATTTCTACATTTTTGTTAACCATAATTTAAATGTTACTTCATTTTCATTTCATACGATCACCAGAATGCTACAGCCCCAAAATTGTGCCCCCTCTTCCTGATGCCCCCAGTTCTGGGCCATGTCTGTTTGAGATCCCTGGTTTCTTGGGAATCTGTGCTAGCCCTTGCCAGCAAGGACTCTCTTTGCCCACTTTGAGGACCTTCACCCCTTATTTATAAAGGCCTCCTTTTTTCGCTATTGTGGTAAAATATATACATCATAAAATTTGCCATTTTAGCCTTCCCCTCACCTTCATTTTAACCATCTTAAAGTATGCACTTCGGTGGTATTAATTACACTTACTATGTTGTGTGATCGTCACCACTTTGTTTCTAATGCTTTTTCAATGAGCCCCCTATTCAGTAATAGCTCCCCATTCTCTCTCCCCTCCACTAACCTCTAATCTGCTTTCTGCTTCTGTGAATTTGCCTTTTAACAGAGATTTCACATAAGTGGAATCAGCCAGTATTTGTCATCTTCTCTCTAGTTTTGTTCCACTGGACGTAAAGTTTTCAAGAGCCATTTGGGCTCCCATTCCAGACAGTCTAGCAAATCACCTTGTGGAAATCATGCATCCTCCACCTGGACATTGCCACCTCCTGTCCCTTCAGACATCCTCTTGAGCTTGGTGGTGATGGTGGAGGGGAGATTTTGTGGTCTGGAAGTCACTCTTGCATCCCCTTCCACACCCTATGCACGTCCCAGTCCACGACTGGAATTAGGCATCACAGGAATCAGTTGGCCCAAGTCCTGTGATGAACGATTTTTCTCTGAAGCCAAGGCGGTCAGAAAGCAGGCATCCAAGGTTGGTCCTGGACAGAGAGTAGCCCAAGTGACAAAATGAATAAGGGGGGAAGGGAGCTCTGGTGGCCTAGTGGCAAGAAGTTGCACTGTAATCCCAGAAGTATTTGGTTCGAATCCACCAGATGCTCTCCTGGAGAAGGAGGAGGAATCTTCTCCTGTTCCAGTCAGATCTGATTTGATGGTACACACACTAAAATAAAAAAAAAAAATTGAATAAGGGAGACTTGAATTGGCTTGACTGGTTCCAGCAGGTGACTCCAGGGCCTTGAGCTTGGGCACCTGTGTCTTGTCATAGCGGGAGCTCTCTAGAGGGGGCGCTGGGCTGGAAAGGGGAATGATGAGCCCGTCTTAGTCATGCTCCCCCTCCTTGCTTGACTTCTCATGCCATTTTAGACTGTCCATCATGGTGCCCACAGCGCCAGCTCAGACACAGAACAGAGCGGCTGGGCATTGTCCACTGCAGCACCTTTGACAGAAGTCAGGTTGGCCCGAGGTTCCAAGAGTTAGTTATCCTTCATTCCTGCCTCCTGACCTATGACTTTCACTTCTAGGAATCTGTCCTTAAAAAGGACTGATCTGAAATATGGGCCAATATTCATAGACAAAGATGTCCACGGTAGCATGATTTAAACATGTTCCGGGGAAAACAACCTTAATAGTCAATTATACGAGAACAACTTAAATGATGTTAAAAGCATGCCGTTATTTGCCTTTTAGAAGGAACCAACTCATAGGTTGCCCTCCAGTGGGTTTTCAGAGACTATAAACTGCATGGAAGGAGATTGACCATTATTCTATACAGAGCAGCTGGTGGATTCGAACCAGCTAGCTGCCTTTGGGTTGGCAATACAACTCCTTACCACTAGCCCACCAGAGCTACCTTAAAGAGAAAATCCTTAGATGACTATAGGAATGATCTGCAAATCAAAGCAAGGTTGTTGATGGTGAGGCAAATGTCTGTATTAAATGTTAAGCATAAAAATATTTAAAACATTTTTAAAATTCTCTGTATATATCATGATATCAAGTATGTAAAAGAGAAAAGTCACAGGGGAGAAAAAAAAAATCCCAGACATATGCCATGCTGCTTCGTGCAGTTATGGGTTTGAGGTTCTTTTTTCCGCCTTCCATCTTTCTGCACTTTGTAAAATTTCTTTCAGAAATAACATGCATTGTTTTGATCTTCAGGACAACAAAGCAATACATTGGAGGAACAATGTCCTTCTCTGTGTACCTGGAGGAAGCAGAATTTCTCCTGGGTGTTTGGGGGGACTACTGAGATAGAAGGATTTAAGGGAGGTCCTGATGTTATCACTAGGCAAAGAGCTGGCTTAGACCAAGGCTGCAAACTTAAGTACCTTTAAGAGTCTGGCAAGTCTCCTGATGGAGTAGAACTGTGCAATAGCTGGAGTGGTGAAGACTATGGCAAAATGCAGAGCACTCACCTGACTAAAAGAGGTGGCTGCTGCTTCCTTCCAGTGCATTGTCTGCCTCTGGGAATGCAGGCCCCCTGTAACCAGACCTTCCGCTTTTCAAAGAGGTAATAAAAAAAACTGAAATATCTTAAACATTGGCATCTGAATGAAAAGTACCCCCAGCACCCTGTGGCCCATGAATCATTATTCTGAGGCCTCTGGCCTGAGTCTGTTCCTTTTCAGAGGTGTTACCTCCTCCCCATGGCAGGCGCAGACTGAAAAGTGTTTCCTGTTTTCTTTCAGAAAACGAGCCTCCATCTCCTCTGGTCTCCGGGATCATTGATTATAACATGCCCCTCACCTCCACGTACCTGAAGCAGATGAAATTGCGCGTGATGAATTCCCAGGAGCAGGTAAGTGGCCCGCCCCTCTACCTCTGCCAGAAGCCATCCTGACTTGCCCAGACTGGGCTGATGGGTGATTCTCTCTGAGACTTGGGGCCACTGCCTGTGTAAACACACAGAGAAAATCAAAGAGACCCTTATCTGGCTATCTGGGTCCTGCAGTCTGGGCTGAGCAGGGAGGGGAGGAAGGGAAAGAATGTGTTCCTGGTTAGAGGGTCTGCTGGGCGGACAGCCCTGACCATCTCAGTGAGACCAGGAGGCACAGGACAGGGGGTGGGGAGGAGCTGCAGACCTTGACTGTGGGTTGGCCCTCTCCTCTGCTGTGCCCTTTGTCTGCTGCGTCACTCAGAGGCGAGAAAGAGGCCCTGGCCAGCCAGGAGGATGGGCTTTGGAGAGTGGCCAAGGCCAGATAAGACCCCAGGGCCCCTGGGCTGTCCATGACTCCCCAGCTGTGGTTTGCCAAGGGCCATCAGGCTCCATGGAAACAGGCTATGAAAAGAAAGTCACTCCTGCTTGCTGCCTCCCCACACAGGCCACCTCCTAGCCTTTTGCAAAGGGAGTCTACTGGCTGTCTTTCAAAGGCCTAGGTGAGCGCCACCCGGTTCCTTCCACCATGGAATAGCAGGGCAGGGACTGCTCACTTTCTGCCTCACACACCATGACACCTTACCCTCCACGTCTGCAGGGCTGGCCAGGGGAACGGGTTCTTTCTCCGCCACTGACAGCCGAGCAAGGAGTGGAGTTTGACTTCAGCCCTGCCTCGAGCTGTCCTGTGCGCGCCAGTCGCCTTGACAACCTGAGCACGCTTGCTCCAAGGGGTAGCGCTCTGTCGCTGGCTTCGGGGGTGGGGTAGCAGGATGTGTTCAGGTGGCACCTGGGCTGTGTACCCAGGCTGAGGATTTACACTGGTTGGCATTTCCTCCTTCAAAGGAGAGGTGCCGCCTCCATACCTGCGCTTTGCTCCTCAAAGGTCAGATGAAGTAAGCTTCCTTTGTATCTGTCTCCCACTTGCCCTCACCTGAGTGTCGGTTCTGTGTGGGCTGCAGCCCTTGAACACCTCACAGTCACAAAACTGATTCCAGCAGAGAAAACCCGGCATTCGGTTTCCAAGTCACAGTCACAGAGTTCTTTTGCCTGCGGGCACGTCAGCGAGCTGGGTGTTGCTTTTGTTGGTGGTTGTAACTCTGACGTTTGGGGTTCAGAGATAAAGCGCCTCCGACTCATCAGGAGCTTGTTTTCCAGCATAACCACCCACACAGTCTCAGGCACCCAGCGCCTTACGCTTTTTCTCCCTGGGCTCATTCATCACCACGGAGAGGTGTGGAAAGCCACACACACCCAGTAAGCACTCCAGCACCAGGGCCTCTTCTTGGCCGCACAGTGGTGCTGGGTCAGATCATCATCAGGACGAGCAGTGGTGGTCAGTGTAGAGTCCATGCGGCCCTGGTCATACGATCAAACACAAAGAAATAACATATAAACTGGAGACTCAGGTGATAGAAACTCGGTCAAATCCCAGACTCCATGGCATTTTCACAATGGCCAGGGATTAAGATGTCAGGCGTGCCTTGTTTTACAGTGCTTTATTTTTGCTTTGAGGCTGCTGCATTTTTTTATAAATTGAAAACCTGTGGCCACCCCGTGTGGAGCAGGGCCTTGGGCATCATTTCCCTACAGCCTGTGCTCGCTCTGTGTGTCGTCTGTGTCGCATTTTGATAATTCTCATAGTATTTCAAACTTTCCATAATAGCGTCGTCGTTTGCAGGTGCTGTCAATTCTGGTTAATAGAAACGCTCTGTTTTGAGAAGCCCCAGGCCCAATTCTGCACCGTCCTCACAAATCCTCACCATCCTCGGCTGTGCTTAAGCCCGTTGTTGGCGTCCCTGTGTCAGTCCATCTCAGCAAAGAGATGTAGAGGCAGACATTAAAAGGTGTGTGTTACCTGCCAGCTTCTGGGGGATGACATCCTTGGCCTCTGTCCTTCCAAGCATGATGGCCCTGTCCAAGGACTGGGCCCTCCTGACGGCATGCCCCCTAAGTCTGTAAGACAAAGTCTCACCGTTCTTGTTTATAAAGAACACTCTGACTGACGTCATCTAGTACGGATTTGTTTGTTGTCTTGCATGGTTCACATGGATGAGTGCACAGTTTCTAATGGAAAGATTTGTTGCTTTGGTATCTCATGGTATATTCAACACTCTCCAACACTGTAATTCAAAGACATCAGTTGTTCTTCTTACTAGACTGTAATGTCATATAAACATAATGTGTTTATGCCCCGGAAAACAAAAGTGTTTGATTTGCTTTTGGGGGGCTGATCTGGAACCTAACCCGAAATGTCTCTGAGGTCTGCCTGTGTCAGGGGAGCGCTGATGGTCTAGTGGGTAGGGAGTCACACTCCTAACCCAAAGCCAGCATCTCTCCAGCAGTTCAAATCTACCAGCAAATACTCGGGAGAAGGATGGGCATTCTCCTCCTGTGAGTTTTTCCAGCCTCTGAAACCCCACTGGGAAGTCAGCTGTGGGTTAGTCCTAACGTGAGAGCAGTGAGCTTGAGTGAGATGCCTCTATTGGCTAGGTGCTTGTACAGGGATTCAGTCATTCAACAAATATAGATGGAACCCTATTTTGTGAGCAGAGTGTTCCTATGTGGTGCAACTACTTAAGTGTACAGTTTCCAACTAAAAGGTTTGCTGTTTGAACCAACCTGGAGGTGTCTAGGAAGAAAGGCCTGGTGATGTGCTTCTGAAAAATCAGCCACTGACTAGCCTATGGTGGTCTGCTCCGACTCACGTGGGGTTGCATGAGTCCAGATCAACTCCAGTGCACCTGAGTTGTTGTTGTTGTTGTTATCTTTAATCTGTGAGTCAGGCTCTAAGGATGAGCAAAGATAGCACCATTCCTAGGTCTTCTTATAATCTAGAGGGAGACAGACACACTGATGCTAAAACCACACAGAAGTGCCTGGCTCCCAGTAATTACCAATAAACGGCGGAGGGAGAGCCTAGGGCAGGCTCGTGAGCCTGAGAAGTGCAGAACCGAAGAGTGTGTGGTGCTAAGGTGTGTAGACTGTAGCACTGACGGCTTTGGCTTCCTCAGAAAAAGGGTGCTGGAGTTAAACACTCTTTCTGAAGGGCAGAGCATGCCAGGGTGTGAGAACAGCTTGTGCAAAGGCCCTGTGGCACAGAGAAGGAGGGAGCTGTAGGGTGGTTGCATGACTGGTGTGGCAAGGCACAGAGAGTGAAGAATTGTGCTGGTGAGGAAGAAGGGTAAAGCACAGTGTTGGGCTCAGAGTGCCTGATGCGTTTCTGGGAGTGAACTTGGGAATGAACACATGGAATGAGCTGGCTCAATCACCCTAGGAAGGTTTGAAGGTTTGAGCTATTCGCAAAGGAAGGGAGGTTTGTAGCAAAATGTTTGCTTCCAGAATGCCCTGTGACATCCAGCCGCAGCTGAAGTTGAGGTGGGGTTGGGCTGTAGCCCTCACATTCATCAGCAGTCTCGTGGATGGGCGGGGGGGGGGAGCTTCTGAAAGCTGCAGTCTTCCCTCAAGTGGTGTAGATAAAGGTGAAGGCTCTTCTTGCAACACCTGGCAGGTGGACCCCACCTCGGGCGTAGGGCCTTTCATCTGTGGCTGCGACACGCCACACACAGAAGTGAGCTCCCAAGGCCTCCCCTTGTCAGGTAGTACCACTATCCCTGTTTCAGAGCTGGGCACACTGCAAAGCACGGAAACACATAACACGTCAGGTTGTGCACCTCTAAGCCACAAGGAAGAGCCAAGGACCCATGAGTCTTTGAATCTTCACCTTGAGTTGGCACTAAAAATATGTACTTGAATTAGCAGCTTCGATCTTTCCTGCAAAGCAAAGTCAGAGAAAGGTTCACCTGGGGATGAGTGAATAGCCGCAAGGCAGATAGGAGATGGGCTCGATGGCTATGAAGCCCTGAGAGGACTTTGAATTCCAGAGACCAGGTTCTGAAAGTGGTGGCTTCATTTCCTCACTCATCACTCTAGCCACCGAGAGATACCTGCAGCATTTGCAGATCAGTAATTTCATCTTGCTTGGATCCTCAGTCAACATCCATGATCCTAGCAGTCAGGGGATAAGGAGACTTATTGCTTTGAGCAAGTCCACTGTCAGCAATCTCTGATGTTAGTTTAAAGACTGAGGTGCACTTGATTCAGGCCAAGGTCTTTTCACTTACTTGCTATACACCTGAGAGCTGGACAGTGACTAAGGATGACAGGAGAAGAATTGATGCCTTTGAGTTGTGGTGTTGGAGAAGGGTACTGACTAGCCCACGAACTGCCAAAAGAACAGACAGGTATGGCTTGGAAAAGGGTGCAGCTAGAGTGCTCCTTAAAGGCAAGGATGACAAAGCTTCGTCTCTCATACTTTGGACATAGTTCTAGGAGAGGCTCTTCCTTGGAAAAAGAACTCATGCTTGGAAGGCTGGAGGGTCAGCAAAAGAGAGGAAGACACCTAACGAGATGGATTGACAGGGTCACTGCAGCAGTGGGCTCTGGTGTGTCAGAAATAGTGAGAATGGCACAGGATAGGACAGGATTCAGATCTGTTGTTCATAGGATCACTATGGTCACACTCAACTCGAGGGCACCTAACAACAACAACAATGCAGGTTAGAGAAGGAACCTAGCGGCATATGTTGAGCTGTTAATCAAGAGGTCAGTGGTTCGAATCCACTTGCTGATTCATGGGAGGAAATTGAGGCAGTCTGCTCCTAATAACACTTAAAATCTCAGACACCTGCTGGAGGGCCAACATGAATTGGAATCAACTTGGTTGCAGTGGGTTTTGGGTTTGGAGGGCAGGCTATGTGGAATGTAAAGCCAGCACTGATGTAACTGGGAATCGCAATACATATTTTATTAGTGTTGAAAAAGTTCTCTAGGGCTAAAGCTTTGGACAGAAAATTCCCATTTTGTCCCCACTAGCATTTACATCCAGGAGACAAATAGTATATGGACTACAATAGTGGAGAATA